AGACTATGGGGCTGGTGAGTCATGGGTTTTTATGCATAGCCTTGCTTTAGAAAAAGATATGCTCATTTAATGGGACTGTTTCAGTGACAGATTATGTTAATTGTAAAATTCTCTCCCTCTTCCTTTTTTCTCTCCCTCTCCCTCTATTGTTTCCTGAAAGAGATGGTGCATTAATTTGAGAGATCAATTCACCTGGGGTGGAGAAGTTTTATATTAGTGTGCCTTTTAATACAGTGAAAAGGTAGGGCATCTTTTGAAAGACTTTCACAGTTCTCCCATATCACCGTTTCTGAACCCGAGTAGCTGGTATCCCTGGGGAGGCTGTGACCTCTTCCTCGGGAGCTCAAAAAAACAACCCAGGGGAAAATGCAGGGGAGGGGCTGAGGAGAAGAACCCTTTTCTCTTTCTTCTCTTAGAACTTGAAAGAACCAATAGGCCAGGTCTAAATACTCGGCGAAGAAAGCCTCACTCAATATAGAAGACATTATATGTTCTGCTGAAAGCAGAAATTAGGCCCCATCCAAGGAAGAGGATAATTAGAAGCTTAGAAAAGACAAATTCCAACATGAACTGTTTCCCACCACCTTTAAAAAAAAAAAAAAAAAAAAAAAAAAAATATATATATATATATATATATATATATATATATATATATATTTCCCCCCCAGCGGTCTTTCTCTCCTCACAAACTGTCCAGTTTTAAGGAATACTTGATTTAGCAGTAGAGAGAATTTTCCCCAGTGAACGCAGGGCCAAACGGTCTCTGGGTTTTGCTTTGATGGTACAGAGACATTCACCTTTTCACTGCTTAGTTGAAAGGTAAGTAAGTTGTACTGCAAAGTATTTTTCACTTAATCAAACTTTTTTCTCCCTCACGAAGAATTTAGCTGATCATCTTTGAAAACCAGAGAGCCACTTTCTCAGGCTGTGAAAGGCTGCCCCCAATTTGACTGAAATTTCAATCCACTCTTGTGCCTTGCTCAATGCATGTGTATGTGTGGGAGTTGTAAATTGAGGCCTTAACCACCAGAGTTAATCTCTTTTTTTAAATCTGTATTAACCTTAATGATTTGAAGTGCACTGTCCAACACTGCGCTATTGAGACTGAAGAAAAAACTACCCTCGACTATCAACAGTTTATTAGGGGCTTAACTGAAGTGACCTACTGTAGTAGTGTTCAGCTGAACAAGGCTATAGGCTTTTTGTGGAAAGGGAAAGAATTGAGGGTTTCATTAAAAAGTAATTTGTGCTTTGTACTCACTCATTCAAAGAGAGTCTCAATTGCTCTTTATTCACACAGAGTTAATACAGTATCACAATGTTTCTCAATGAATGTGTTGTAACAAAAGAAAAATTTTACATTTTGAAAGGAAAAAAATTCTTTGTAACTGCAGTAAGATTGATGGCTACTAAAAAGATTATAGAATCTCTTGTTCCTGTGCTCATGTTAAATGATGGAATATTATAATTTAAGATATTTTGCTTAAACTATGGAAGTTTGACTTTATGTTCTGATCCTTAAAAATAGTTTAAAAATAGAGCAACGTTGGTCAAATATAAGTTTGTCTTGTTAGGTTTGTCTAGAAAAAAGTGTTCTGAACCCAACTAAGTATCTTATAGTAATAGCCTCATTTATAGCAGGTCAGAAGATACTCTGCTTAGCTCAGAGAGCTATCAGTGATTTAAAATCTCCCCTCTCCATCCACAACACTCCTAAATGGATGCTAATTTGAGGATTTGAAGCCTGCACCATTGACTCAATTTCTGTTTTTCAAACTGTTGCTGAAAATCTTGTAGAGCCTATGATTATCCACTGAGACGTACAACATATCTTTAAAGTTCTTCTTTGAACAAGTAAAAAAGAAGTATACAAAGAGCTTATTTGGGCTCCAAATTTAATGGAAAAGACCAGGAAGGATCAGTTTACACATAAATATTTATCCTTTCCAGAAGTAAAGATTATTAAAAAAAATAAGTAGTATATTCAGACATTTCTCACTTAAATATATGGTCCTCAGTTTCTGTCACCATCACAAATGTCGTAAAGACCACAAAAGGTACAAGAGTGAGCAAGGTCAAAGACTGAATTATCCTCTTGCCCCTGAATAGTTCAACATCTCTCTTGTTCAATTCAGAGCACATTAGATTATAAGGTCAGTGTGGAATGAGGAATCATGAGATTTATATCCCTAAAACTGGAGGGGGGAAAAAATGGACAATCTGTTATTTAGTATTCCCCAAATTAAAGTTCATTTTATCAGATCAAAATTATGTCTCATTGAATCCCTAGGGAAAAGACTATTGCTATTCACATTAATTTACATAGAACCATTAGGAAAGAAATATATCTATTTTTTACAGCTTTGAAAGAACACATACTTTAACTTCCATAGTGGCATATAGGCCAAGTAGGTTAACATAGTTTACATATTCATGAAGTTTTAAAAGCAATGACAGCTTCTCTCTAAGAGAAACAAACTTATATAATTGCATTCAACTTATGTCATGGGCAGGTATCTAAGCTTTTGAAGTAAATGGGACTTGAATATTTGTGTAAGAAATTATTGTGCCCCCTATAAATGTTCAGTAATAATTCTTAGCACTTAGGTGCCCACTGAGATATTATTTTAGGCCTTTCTCCCCCATCTTCAGAGGTTTTCAGCTCAACACTGGGGGCTCCCCTACAGAAAATCCTGTAGAAAATTGAAGGTGCCTGATGGTGAATGTTACCGTGAATGTCACCGTGAATGTCACATTCTGAATTTACCTGCTGCGGGGAATCAGAGGCTAGGTGTAACCTCTGTATGTGAAAGCAATACTGAGTTCCTATTCTAGTCTTTAAGTTAATGTCCACAGTGAACAAAAAAAAAAGCAATTACTGGGGCGCCTGGGTGGCACAGTTGGTTAAACATCAGACTCTTGGTTTTAGCTCAGGTCGTGACCTCAGAATCATACAATCAAGCCCCGAGTTGGGCTCGGTGCTCAGCGTGGACTCTGCTTGAGTTTCCCTCTCCCTCTACTCCTCCCCCACATTCTCTCTCAAATCAATCAATCAATCTTTCAAAAAAAGAGCAGTTAATCAATCATTCATTGTCGACTGTTGGTTCTAATACTAAATGCAACATAATAAAAGAAAAAAAATCATTATGTCCAGATTAATTTGAGTATAACCACATCAGAAGTAAAAAAGTAGATGAATAAAGTTAACATTCACTAATTGTTCAGTACAAGGAACCAAGTCAGCATACATGCAAAAAGATTACAAACTACCCTCTCTCTCAGTACTTTCAAGTACACCTATTTTGAAAGAACATTTGATGGTTGTTACTATCTTCATGGTTTCAAATGAGTTGATAGTCACTTGTTTAAAGAAACTATAAACTCTCAACATTTTTATCACACAATAAACAGTCACTTGATACTATGCAAATATTAAAAATTTAAAAATATTACCATTCTGGAACAGACATCTGCTATTTTAGTTTTAATGCATGTCATCTTTTAATTCGGTTTTGATTCTGTTCTGTTTAGATTTGATGAATTAAAAAAGGATACCAACCATCAGGTAATGGATTTCCAAGCTCTTAGATGGTAGGAAAAGTACATTTCTCCCCTTCAGATAAGTCCACTACCTCATTAGGATCAACTTGCTGAACATTCACAATGGTAAGCATATTTCTATAAATAATAAGTGGATGCTTTCTTTCAGGAAGAGCAAAATTTACACAAAAATTGGCCAAGTCAGTCCTATTTGTTATCTATCTTGAGATAGACAATTTAAGAAATGGTATAAGTATGCCCCAAAACCTATGAAATTAAAGAGTAAATGAATGGTCACATAATTGCAAATTTAAAACAATGATTTCATTCTGGAAATTGATGAAATAATTATTGTTAGTTAATTAATACATCATAGAAATAGTGATATCCAAATCAGGAAGCTTTAAGAGATAAGACTGATTTCAGTGTTTTTTACAGGTCCATTTCTTGGTTTAAAAATTTAGAACAATGTAGATGCTTAGTTTATTTTTATTTATTTATTTATTTTTAAATTTTATTATGTTATATTACCATACATTACATCATTAGTTTTTGATGTAGTGTTCCATGATTCGTTGTTTGCATATAACACCCAGTGCTCCATTCAGTACGATGCTTAGTTTAGATCCAGAATTATCTCTGGGATGTGCTAAGGAATTTTAACAACAACAACAAAAAACTTGAAAATTAAAAAAAAAAGGACGCCTGGGTGACTCAGTCATTAAGCGTCTGCCTTCGGCTCAGGTCATGATCCCAGACTCCTGGGATCGAGTCCCGCATCAGGCTCCCTGCTCAGCGGGAAAGCCTGCTTCTCCCTCTCCCTCTGCCCCTGCTTGGGTTCCCTCTCTCTCTGTCAAAAAAAAAAAAAAAAAAAAAAAATCTCTAAAAAAAAAAAAAAACAAACTTGAATCAGCAACCTGGATGCCAGGAGTTCATACCAAGTAATTGAGTAATTTGCATCTAAAATTTTCAGTAGACTATGCAACAGATTTCACATGTGTTGGACTTGTGTTGATGTTATGATACTGTCTGAGGGAAGCTGATCCTGCCTGAGAGAAGATAATAACATTACTACAAGATGCCAAAGTGATGAAACCTGGAAGTCCCATTGCGTTGGCCAAACTTTGGAAAAGGCAACAATTCAAAAGTTACTTTACCCTTTATTGTTTGTTTTTAATACATCACCCTTCTTTCAAAAAGCAAAAACAGTATAAAAATTGGGTGGTTGGCAATTCTTGTAATATCAAACCTGAAACTTTATATTTATATTATTTACTTTGATGATCCAGTCAGGTGAAGTGAAGAGTTTAGTCATTAAACGGTACGGACCCGGTGGCATGCAGCTCGATATGTATATATCATATATAATAAATATTATAGATATACATTATATGTTATAATATATAGTCGAAATAATGTATATAAATAAATATAGACAATAGAATTTCCTCATTTCTTACCTGTGACATCAGCGACCATCAACCCTTCTGCTCTGATTACTTTCACCTGGAGAAATCCCACATCTTTCAGGTTGTGAAATATCCGCAGTGGACTCTGAAAGACCCCAACATCGGTGTTAGAAAAGAAAGGTCCTAGAGGGTCTCAACGAGTGTGTGAGGAAACGCTAAGTTTTATCATTGACCTCACGATGCTGCTTAAGTGGTTCAAAGGGATGTTTGTGTTTCTTCAGTGCAGATTACCCTTCCACTATCACTAATGTCCACCAATACACAGGCACGCACATACGAATTGACAGATAATTGTTGCTATATGAGAATTCCGAAAGAATAAAAAATACCGCATTTCTTCCCCATAAAAAATTATCAGTGAACAATGGTGAACAGTAAATTACAGAACAGGATATGCCTACTTTCTTCCTTCAATCTCCTTTACCGAAGAACTCCAAATAATCTGTCATCTATGGGCACCATGGTTTGGAGACTAATGATCGTTAACACTGAGTCTTAGGTTGTTGGTCATGTAACACACTTCAGCCTTTAGGATTAAGAAAGTCAGTATTAATTTTTTTTTTCTTTACTCTTTTCTTCTTGGTGAGTTTTGGAAATTGCGTGTGCTAGATGAGGGCTGAATTACTGAAATGCTGCTTTCTAATATTTGGTTCAAAAGATTTGCAAAGTTCTATGAACCTTTTAGGAAAAAAATCATATATAACTTCTAAAATAAGCCAAATTGATCACTAAAAATAAATTCAAAGTGATGAATAATTTTTCTTAAGTTTGCAATTTTATTTGCCATTGTAGTGTGTACAGAAGTAGGGAAATTTCAATAGAAGAATCAGATCCAAAGGATAAAACCTATTTAATTTCATAAATTAATAATGGTAGTGTTTTGGGAAGTATAGTACCTGAAGGCATTAAAAGAGAGATACCAATGTAATAATTCAGAACTCTAATTAATGGGCACAAATACTTAAAGAGTAAGTATTGATAGAGAACACTGATACGCATTTGCTTATTTACACATCCTAGCATTTTTCTTATGAAAAGACCAGCATTTCTACTCAGTAAATCAAAGGTACTTCTGCATTATAATCCCTAAAATGCTTTAAGACCAGGGAGCATAACATAACAAAGTTATCAAACTGTTACTAAAGAACATTCCCATCCTTGTATTAAGGATATGAGAAAACTGACAAGTAGGAGCTTACTGAGATATTAACTTTATAATTTTTTTTAAGATTTTATTTATTTATTTGACAGAGAGAGAGATAGCGAGAGCAGGAACAGAAGCAGGGGGAGTGGGAGAGGGAGAAGCAGATTCCCAGCTGAGCAGGGAGCCCGATGTGGGACTCGATCCCAGGACCCTGGGACCATGACCTGAGCCGAAGGCAGACGCTTAACAACTGAGCCACCCAGGCGCCCTTTTTTTATAATTTTTTTTTAAAGATTTTATTTATTTATCTGACAGAGAGAGAGATTGAGATATTAACTTTATGAGTCCTGTATGACTAGCCATTGTGTACCCTGAAGCTATGACCTTGGTATATTGGGAGGAGGAAATGCAGATATATGGGTAATATCAGAGCCTAACTTTTTAGAGAGTTGAGCACAGGATTAGCTCCTATTCTTGTATTGTTTTAAAACAGCTGTTTATCACCCAAAATCTATTGAAACTACCCAGATGACAGTGCTCAGGAAAAACGCACCTCTCTCTCCACTTAAATTCATGTTAAGGGTTTAACAATGGGAACTTTAGACAGCAGTGTTACAATTCAGAGGTGTGTAAGCATGTTGTCTTCCTAATGTAGTAACATCTCAGAGCTTCCTGAGTGTTATAAACCAGGTAACTCTCCTATCCTGATGATAGAGAAGAGTTTTATCAAAAGATTTCTGTCCTTTAATTTTTGGGAGCAATTCAATCCAAGTTTCACCGTGTCTAAAAGAAATCTCATCAGTCCTCGGGCTGAGAATTGTTTCATACGAGTAACCTCCCTGCACAGACATATAGCTTCTGACGCTTCCGCTCCAATGTTCTGCTTCTCATTTGGAGGGGTAATTACTGTTTGAAGGGTTTCTTTCCTCCAGTCAGCTGACACTCAGGAATTTATTGCCAACTTCAACTGTTTAGGGCAGTGACACAGCGCTTATAATAAGAATTGCAAAAAAAAGGCAAAAAACTTAAATATATCAGTTTAAAAATAGACCTTTCGGGGATGCTTCATCAAGAGGTATTCCTGCCTTGTTATTTATGGTTATTTTAGAAGGCCTCAAAACCTGGATGGCTTCTGAAGCCAGAAATTTCCATAGCAGAGGAATCTATGATTTGCTGTGAATCCTTTCAGCCCTCAATAGATGGGAAAAGATTGAAATGCTCTGGAGAGGAGTCCTCTTTATTTTTTTAATGAAAGGCTGTATAATATATTTTCTCTATGGCTGCAGCAGCTGTCAGGGAGAGCATCTCAGTTCAGCTCTATTACGGGAGAGGCAATACCCCATCCTATGGCATCGAGATGCTCTGAGGGGCCAGAGCTGATTGACAGCTTGTCACCGTGACGTCTTATTCCATCTCTGTTATGGAGAAAATTAATGTCACACCACCAGCCTTATGACTCGCTGTCATCCTAGAACCGCTCACCTTTTATCAATGCTCTAAATAACATTTCAAGCCCATCGTCTCATGCTGGACAATCCGGTCAAGGGACATTAAATCTGATGACTGTGAAATGTCATAATAAAAATGGAATGCTAACAACTTCTTCTCTAAACTAGCTCCTCTGGTTTTTAAACTGTGACAAGGGGGAGCAAGGGTTCAGCATACCGGTTCTGAAAAGGTCATACAATCGCTCTTGGTCTACTACCCATTACTACCCGCCCCCTAGTGACCTTGCCTGCCTTCCTCCCTCCCAAAGGAAAAAAAAAAAAAAGAAAGAAAGAAAAATGGAATTAGCCATCTTTTCAGAATGAGGTGATCAAATAATGGCCCACAGGGTAATGTCTGTTTAACTTGTGGGGCTCCGATGCTTCAAAATGAACAACTGAATGACAGAAATGGAGAGCCTTTTCAGGGGCAACTCACTTTCCTCACTATGGCCAGTGCCAAATCACATTCTGAAGTGTCCCCTAAAATTTAAAAAATACACATGTCCTCCCAGGAAAACATATAAGTAGTTCCCCAAATAACCTCCTCTATATGTTTCTCTGAAACATATGATGTCATATGATGTCCCAGACACGATGCGGCATTCATTCATCTCCTACTAATCTGTGTAATAAAAAGACACGCCGAAACCATAAAGCGTAGGTCTCTGTCCTTGTCTTACTATGAGCAATTATAACACATGTGCTTTAGTGCACACAGGAGCTCCGTAGCAACGACGTCTCTAGAGGGAGATACGGGCCTATGCTTGAAATGCAGGGCTACAAAAACAAAACAAAACATTTAAATACGGTTCACTTTTTAATATGTCGTCGAGCAGCATGTAATCAGAGAATCAGCCAGGGCACCCACATAACAGTTTATATTTTATTCAAATAATAACTAACGTTTGAAAGAAGGTGCGGGAACAAAATATTCAAATTCTGAATGGAGATGGCCGATTTAAGGAAGCCCAACCGGCAAAAAGAAAAAAAAAGAAGAATCAATCATAGTTGGATTATTCCTAATTACCTAGGCTCCACTATCACTCTAATATATGGGATGGTATCAAATATTAACCCATAAAACACGGTATCATAATACCTAGAATTTTTATATTAATATACCAATTAATTCTTTTAAAATTGTCTCGACTCACAAGGCTCACTCCTGGTAACAGGAGAACACGTTTTCATGGGTACCAAAATGTGAAATAATTCTCATAATTGCAATTACATATTAGAAGATGCCCAACAATAGGTTGGGCTCTTAGGTGGTTTAAAAATATATACTATCAGCCTTGCTAAGTCACCTCTATTAAACTGTTTATGGTAACACCATTGGTAGGTGAGTTGTGCAAGCATTAGCAGACAGCTGATTCGGTGGAGAGAGCCAGAATAAATTTGCTGAAGCACACATCCTGCTGATCTGTTTGAAGAATATTGTAGAGCATTAGGACCAGCACTTCATGTTATCTGTGCAGCCTGATAAGGTACATCTTTATTAAATTCAGTTATTGGAAGGATGTCAGTCAGCAAATAGGAATATTTTAGAATCTAAAAAAAAAAAAAAATTAAGCGGTTCTTTGTTAGTCGGAGCTTGGTTTCATGGCTGAATGTCTAGAGGAGCCTTCTAAACACCTGGCAGCATTGTACAATGCAAGCTTTGTAATTTTAAGTGGAAAAGCTTTTTTTCCCAGCTTCATGGGTACCGAGGCATTCACTTTTTCTGAGACTCCAATGAGAGAGAATGGTGGAGTAAGAGCTCCCCTCTCTGTTGATTCAAGAAAACTACACAGTGGAAAATGCACAGCGTGAGGATGCTGGGAAAGAGGTAGATTGGGGTGTGAATATTTTGGTTTGGTGAAATTTGAGAAGGGTGCTTACTGTAGTGACTCACTATTCCGCCCTCTCACTCCACAAATGATCAAAAGGTAAGGAGGCTTCCTTTTAATTATATTTCACATTCAATTAAAATAAGGTAAAGGAATGAAGCGAGGCCTTTCTAAGCAGTTGAAATAAAAATTCTTTCTGTGAATATCCTCTCGTTACCAAGCTACTAATTAACGTAGGTGTCATTAATTCCATTTCAAACTTGGAAAGACAAAGGACTCTTAATTGCAATTACAAAGGGTCAAAGAATTAATTTTGAGGTAATGTTCTGTATCCTTGACTTTCCTTTATGAGAAGTTGCCTTGCATGATAGTTGTGCTGCACGAAAAATCACTGTGGAGAGGTTCAGAATCTAGAACTTGCTTTGGAAGAGACTCTAGAGAAGAGCAGGTGTGCAGAGCTCAGGGTAACGGCATCTGCATTTACCCAGCTCTCTGTCTCTGCCGACTCAACTGTCACACAGCCCTTCAGATGTACTCCTGTCACTCGAGGTAAATCATTTACCACCTCAACTCGTCACACATGACCCTGAATTAGGAGGGTTACATACGTACATATCTCCTTAAGATTTCCTCCCGTTCTTTCTGGTCCTCCAGGGAACTGACGGAGAGGTCAGAGATGCTGACTGTGGCCGAAGCTGTCAGGGTGACCAGCAGTACCAGGTGACCCTCACCCTCTTCCAGCTGCAACTCCAACTTGTGTGTCTGTTCCCTACTGAGGGCCGACAGGTCCACCTGGCACCTGGAAACAAATGTTGTGAATTAGCAAGTGCCCTTCTTCTCCTCTCCTCTCCTCTCCTCTCCTCTCCTCTCCTCTCCTCTCCTCTCCACACCTCTCCTCTCCTCTCCTTCCTTCCTTTTTTGTCACATCAAACATGAAAGTGCAGGCTGCTCAGAGCTATGTGAAAAATAAATCAATAGAAATTCTGTTTGAGCTACTGGAAGACTATATCTTTCATTCAGCACACTTTCTTCACAAAATTTAGACCCTGACTATTTTTAGTGTCTAGTTTCTTATTTCTGTAAGATACAAAAAACATGTTTATCTGATTCTATTACTATCCACTGTCACTGTATTCATAAATTGGGAGGGACTTTCAATCCCTGGATGGCCTAGTTTAGTGCGCTTTGCCTACAGAAAGATTAACATGAGCTGTCTGGAGAGGCAAACCACCGAGAATCTGAGTTCTTGTGTAGGTTTTAAAACAATGGGAGTTCTTCATCCATAAATGTTATTAAGCAATGAATAAAATATGTACTTTGATGATGCCGTAAGTTTTACACTTTTAAAACCGTGCTAATTTATTCATAGAACACCACACATAAATCTAAATAAAAACAAATCCTCCAAAAAATTATAGCTCAAGGGTTATGTACCAGCGTTTTACTAAGAGAGGTTTCATAACATGGCAGCCCATGCTTGATGAGCTCTTCTCTCAGAGTTAAACACCTTGCAAACTCTTTTCATAAAAATGTCAGTTGATTTGGAAGAGAAAGATACTGAGGTGATCACAAAGCCAATAAACTGAGAGAAAGGGGGTAGAAATGAACAAAAGGCATTTAAAACAGGAAATAGCCAATTATAAGCATAAATGTGGTAACATATCATAAACAGGAGTCAGCTATCAGGGACTGATTAAATTTTTGCTCTTTCTTGCTCTTTACTCCACTTACTGTCTATTGCTTGGCTTTTAAATTAAATTTCTATGAATAGGGCCTCAATGCTTATTGTTGGGTTCAAACATCTCTTTAGTATGAGTAAATTTAGAAATTGAACCAAAGTCTGCATTTTCTTTTTATTTGTGCCTATCAAAAATGACAAGAGAGATAGCTGGGACTGAAACAACGGAGAAGAAGAGGAGTACAGATGCAAGAAATGAAAAGAAAAAGCAACATCCTGGTCAGGGACAGAAAGTCCATGTGTGTGTGTTGATGCTAACTGTTGAAAGAGAGCAGGAAATCAGAGTCTGTACCAAGTCTGGAAAACATCTTCCTAAAGTGAGAACGTATATCAAATAACTTCATTGTTTCTGTGTCAACATGCATTTCAAAATACTTTCACTCAGTCTCCTGAAACTCTGAAAGCTGAATAAATATACCAAATCTGTATCTAATATCCTGATTTTATTCGGAATTAAGTTCTTATCGATAACACTTGGACCAAATTGAGAAGAAAGATGCAATGGTGACAAACCACCAATCAAATGCATTCTCTAAGAAAAAGGAAAAACGTCAATATGGTTTTCTACAGATCTTTCCAGCAACTGGCAGAGTGTCTCGCCTGTAGTTTGGTGAATGTGAATGAATCTTTGGATTAGATTGGGAGTATGATACTCGAGAATCAAACATGGGTTACAATTCGCACTGTACTTTTGGGAACAAGAAAGGTCCTTCACTCATTTGGATCCTGCATTTCTCAATCCTGTCCTTGCCTTACTCTTTTATATGACACTGCACCACTCTTAAAATACATTGAAGCCTTCTGGAAGGTTTCCTTCTATGGCTATTACCATTTTACACAGGTCATATGGATGCTGGCTTACTCTTCATTTATCTTAGAGTCATTGTGTTTGATGCTCTAGAGTTGGGGAAGGTGCTCTAAAGATGATTTAGTCCAAGAGTTGCAAACTGGCAACTTACAGATCACATCAGGTCTATGGAAGGGTTGTTTGTCCTTCTAGTGCTAATACAAGTTTTGAATTAAAAACATTGTAAGACAGAGTAAATGTCCTCTGACTTAATTACTGTCCCTAATACTGTCTGTTATTTACACTATTTCACCTAATTCTGTATCTGGTTCAAATAAGCATAGGTATTTGTGATCCTCATAATCTCCTTAATTTAACAATAAGAAAACTGAAGAGCAGAGAAGTGATCTGACTTAATGGAGATATACAGTTTAGTTGTTAGCAGAGCTAGGACCTGAACTTGGAACAATGGAATCCAAGATACAGTCTTTTTCCTGGGCTACTCTTCACTAAGTAACTGTGTACCCCCACGACAAAGTGTGTCTATTTGCAGTGGTTCTTAAACTGGGTGAAATCTGGACTTGTTTCTAACAGAAAAAATTATCTCCGTTTTCAAGCATGGAATTATGTTATTTTTGTACTTTTAAAATACATATAAGCTATGGAAGAAGACTGTAAGTTATTGTTCTTATAAGAAGATAAACTCAGAAAGATACACAAATTGAATTTTAAAAACTATGAATCTAATAAAATTTAACATTGTACATTTATAGGGAGGATTATGCTTTTCTGCGGCAACTAGTTTCAAAATGGGTATTCTTGCAGAAATAGTTTCAGATCCTGTCCTATATTTAATGTTTCAGAATTTTGACTTTAACAATTCCAATGTAGAAAATGCCTATTTATGTAAATGAATTAGAAGAGAGTATTAATGACTCCAAGGTTCTTTTTGCTAGTTTGGGTTATCCAACTCTCCTATTCATCTAAAAACTCTGCTCAGGAGTAATCCTCAGATGCCATTTTCAATGAAATGTCACCTGATAATTGAGCAAAATTGTCTTGTTAACTTGAGAATAAAGTTAGCATCATAGCATCACTGATATCTGCATTAAATTTGTATTAAATTATTGCTGGAATTTGGTGGGAAAAAAAAAAAGCCTTTGCTACTCCTTGGTTGCTGTTGAATAAATAGGTACAAAGATGGAACTCCTGCAGAAGAGTCTATTGCAAAGTGAACCCAGTACTTATCCCTATAGGTCAGTGCCATGGTTTGAATGTTTGTCTTCAAGATTCATATGTTGAAACCTATTGGTCAATGTGATGACATTAGGAGGTGGGGCCTTTGGGAGGTGATTAGGTCATGAGGGTGGAGCCTTCATGAATAAGATTCGTGCCCTCATAAAAGAGGCCCCAGAGAGGCCCTCACCCCTTTTGCCATGTAAGGACACAGAGAAAACACAGTTGTCTATGAACCAGGGAACCAGACACAGAATCTGCTGGTGTCCTGATCTTGGATTTACCAGTGTCTAGAACTGTGAGAAATAAATTTCTGTTGTTTACACCCCCTAGTCTGTGGTGATCTGCCATAGCAGCCCAACAGGCAGATTCGCCTGTATTGAGCTCACCTAAAGAAAGAAACGGCTCATGACAGTTTGGATATAGAAGTCCTCGGTGGTCATCTGGATGGTCAGAATCGGCATAAATTAATAGTTTCAATTTGTTATCAAAATGAAAATGCAAAATTTTAAAAGTACTGAAGCAAATTCATTAGGTACATACACAGATATGTATACAGGATGAAGAGCTCAGGATTGGGAGTCAGATTCCCTTGGCTTCAGCCCTCCATCTGTCACTAATTAGTTGTATGACCTTTTCCAAGACAACTTACCCTCTTGAATTCCAGTTTTCGCATCTGTGATATGAGGTAATTGAACTAGATGAACGTACAAATTCCTAAAAACCCCAAATTTCACACTTTGCTACAACTCTGTCCATGTTTACACTTGTTTACATCTTCCTTTCTTTACAATTCCACAAACCAAACAACTAAGAAAACGAATTCATCTTATAGGCAATGAAGTATTATTCCTCAAATGTATTACCCCTCCAAAGCCTTAATTTGACGCTAGAAGGCAGATAATCTAATCTATTTTAAATTGTCTTCCAAGGAACACGAAGGGGTACCTCAAAAGTCACCATGGAGGGGAGAAGGGTGAAAAAAATAGGGTGTGGACTCTTCTCTCTGGCTCAAAGAACAGCTCCTCTGACATCTGTTTCATATTGATGTTCCACATGTAGGTTTGAAAACTTGTTGGATACATCTATCATCCCCTTAGATTCTCCTAGAGCCATGACCTCCTGGGTCCTCTGCTACCTGCTTTGCCACAGCTGTGACTTTGGCTCTGCCTTCCCAAGGCACTGCTTTTCATCCCACCACCATGACCAATTAACTGTGCTTGGGTCCTCATGGGGCTTCCACCTGGGACTGGCTCAATGTTTACTTGCCAAAATAAGCTGGGCTCTCCCCTTGGCTGCCACTGTGCATCGAGGCCCAATGGCCACATGCCCCAAGTTTCTGGCTTCTAAGACTGCTTCTACACTTGGATGAAAAGTCACATTGTGGGTTGTGGGGTCTGACTCCCTGGTCACCTGTCAAAGAAACCAGATGAAACAATGCAGAAGTTGTCTTCTCATGGGGTGAACTGAGATTGGTGGAATAGGAGATGGGAAGGTAATTCCGCACACCTCCTTCCCTCTCACAGAGTGCTTCAAAGTATGATTCTCCATATTGCCTGCCCACAAGTGGCCAAGTGGGTACACAGCAACCAGCCATATCTCTGAAACACAGGAAACAGGAGCCCTCCCGGTAACATACTGCCTTGCATTGCCTCCCAGTCTTCCCTGCTTTATGTTCTTTCTCTCTCCCCTTCAGTGCTTGGGATTGTACCTCCCAATGAAGTATCAGCACTTAATCATTGCCTCAGGCTCTGCTCTTAGGGAATCTGGCGAAGGCAAAAACCATTGATACAATTCAATCCCCTCAGTTACAGATGTCTACAACACAAACCTGACCATGCTCCCCCCTCGGTTCCCACCACCCATGGAACCTCCTTGGCAAGACAAGGCCCTTCTTGACCTACCATCAGCTTGTGTGTCACTTGCTGACTCACACTGACTACTCAAGTCATTCCAGACAGCTTGTGATTCTCCCACCATCCATGCTAGGGCTTAGACCTGTTTCTTTGTGTTTGGACAAGGCAACCCCTCTGCCTGA